GAGAGGGAGAGGGAGAGGGAGAGAGAGAGAGAGAGAGAGTTTTAATATTTTTTTTATTATTTGGCGGTCACAACATCTTTGTATGTATGTGGTGCTGAGGATCAAACCCAGGCTGCACGCATGCCAGGCGAGCGCACTACTGCTTGAGCCACATCCCCAGCCCCCAAAGTGCAAATTTCTTAAAAACCTTTCAATTTCCACCTATAACGAAAAAATAAATATTAAAAAAACCCTTCAATGGCTTCCCATTGTTCTCAAAATAAATACTGCCATATTCTTTATGTGACCTACAAGTCAAGTATAATTTTATTGTTAGCAGTTTAGGCACTTGCCAGTTATATGATCATAAGAAACTTATCAAATCTCAGTGAATTTTGGTTTTCTCACCTACAAAATGTGAACAACCCATAGAGTTGTTGGGAGGATTAAATAAGCTAATATATGTAAAAATTACATCACATATAACACTGATTTTAATTTAAAATATTACATATTTTACAATATATTGCATATTTACTGAGCATAGTACTCAGTTGTGTGTTCGGTACCTGATTCTTTCCCCTCATTTTCTGACATCCTTCTTAAGCTTCTCTCAGATCCTGGAATGTGCCATCCTCCTATTTATCCCAATAACTCCCAATGTGAAGTTTCCTTTCTCTAAAAAGTCTTTCTTGACTCCCCATGTCTGGTTCAGGTGATCCTGCGGTGGGCTTCCATAACATTCTGTCCAGCATTCCCTATAACATTTGTTACCCACTCCTGGAATAGTGACTGATATGAAGCAATACCCCAATCTGTGGAACCCTTTTTTACCATGCTTTTTGTACATATTGTTTCTTCTTTCTGTTTTAGACAGGGCAAAATAACTGCTAAGTCCATCTTTCCTTTCCAAGAAAACTTTCCCACCCATAACCTCTGTTGAAGAGACAGCCTTTTAGCTGTAGTCATCACCCACAGAGTTTTTTTGCTTTAGCTGACTGGACCAGAATTGGCATCTGATGCAATCAATGGTGAACAGTCAAGAACATAGTCTGCAATTTTTAACATACCTGGCACCAAGAAAGGACTAGATTTATCAGATTCTCTGACTCTCTAAAATCTTTTTTTTTTATATTTATTTTTTAGTTATAGGTGAACACAGTGTCTTTATTTTACTTTATGTGGTGTTGAGAATGGAACCCAATGCCTCACGCATGCTAGGCAAGCACTCTACCTCTGAGCCACAACTCCAGGCCACTCTCTAAAATTTGAGTTAGAAAAAAGGAGAGGGCTATAAGTATAGCTCAGTAGTAGAGCAACTGCTCAGCAGGCTTGAGGCCCTAAATTCAAACTCCACAAACACACACAGACACACACACACACACAGCTACTTTATTAAGGGTAAGAACAAGAGCTAAAATGATACCTTAAAATATCTAAAATAAACTCTGATTCATGACAGATCAAAGCAAGCTACAGAAGAAATACAAAGTGAAGAAAAAGGAAACAATTGTTAGTGGGAAAAGAGGCTCTTCCAGGAGGAAAAATAGCTAAGTCATGCTAATGATAAAGCATCACAGTAAAATGGCAAAAATGCTGTGTCTTGCTTTTCTGGGCTTTTAGTTTCCTGAGCTTCTATGACGTATATTTTTAAAATTGTTGTGCTAACTGGAGTGAGGTTTTTTTTTTTTTTTTTTTTTTAATATACTGGGTAGTGAATCAGGGGCGCTTAACCACTGAGCCTTATTCTTTTTTTCTTTTAATATTTTTTTAACTTGTTGATAGACCTTATTTATTTATTCTTTTTTTTTTTGTATTTTATTTTATTTAGAGACAGGGTCTCACTGAGTTGCTTAGGGCCTTGATAAATTGCTGAGGCTGGCTTTGAACTCATGATCCTCCTGTCTCAACCTCCGAAGCCACTGGAATTACAGGTGTATGCCACCACAACTCGTGACTTGTTCTTTGTAACTCAAGAATATGTCATCTCTCTGTTTTGGGGAAACCCAAGTATTCTTCAGGTTACAATTTCTGACTCCCTCATCTGTTTGCTCTCTTCATTTAGAGAAACATTTATCACATTACCTACAAAATTATTGGTTTGTCTATTTCTAGCATGAGAAGACTATGAACTCTCTGAGGACAGAGTACTTTGTCTATTTCCCAGCGGCACACTGTGTCCAGCAATATACTTGATATATTAAAGATGTTTAGAATATAAAACCAGATATTGTCCTAAGCACTTTATAGATTTTAATTTACTTCTTCTATATAAAGCCTTCTGAAGTAGATGCTATTATTTCCCTCATTTTGCAGATGTGGAAAGTGAAACACAGAGAAATCCTTGCCAACATTTACAAAGCATGGCGGCGGGGGAGAAAAGGATTCAAATCAGAAGTTTGGCTCCAGAGTCTAATTGCTTAACTACTGTGCCATATAGCCTGAACTAAAGGGGAATGAGGAAAGGGAGCAGTAGTTAATCTGAACATTTGAACACTCATGTACAGAGCTCTTTTACATATATTATATGAGGTCATCAGGATTCTTCTCATCCTTTGTGTGAGACTAGCCAGAAGTTCTAGCCCTGAAATACCAAATACCCAGATTCTTCTTTTAGGCACAGAAAAATGAAATATAAGTAAAAGGCACATACAGAATTATTTTGTAAATTCCTTGGCCCCTTAGAGGCATGAACACCTGGTAGATTGGTCAGATTTCTAGGCCAGCATCTAAAGAAAGAATCGTATCAGAGTATGAAAACCTTTCATGCAGAACTAACCCAACCACTTTCTCAGTTATTCTAAGAACTGACAGTCTTTCCATAAAACCAACAATAGAGTGTGTATGTCGGGTGTGTGGGGGAAGGGTAGATAAAGTGGTGATTCCACTTTGTACTATTGTTTTTAAAGGAGTCTGGCTGTAGGGAGCTCTTGCAGATGCTTTTATTGGCAGCTTCAACCGGTTCCTTTGAGTTGCCATGGCAACCGGAAGCCAAACCCGGGAGGGGGCTATTTATTGGTGAATGATAAGGAGCCAACTGAAAGGACAGCTCTTTGAGGGAAGCCTGGAGTTGTTCAGGAGTGGGAGGAGGTGAAGCAAAGTGTTTATGTATTAGCATGGGGTAAATCCAGATGCCACTTGCACTATGGATGCACAAGTAGCAAAAACCTTAGCAAACAGGAAGGCTACCTAAGAGCTTCCTGGCATGGTTTCTTCTACCTAATTGCCAGTGTCTCAGAAACCTGAGTGAATGACTAGGGGAGTGGTCTGAAACTAGCAACTGTCTCCCACAAGAACATTCTCTGTATGTTATAGGAACAGCCTGGGGTTTCTTCAGAAAGTGAGATAATAGTGGCAGCTGCCTGTACCTGGGTGAAACTCACCAGAGAGATGAGATTTGTATTTGGGCTGCATTCCTGGCTCAAGCTATCTGGCTCCAGTATATGATGACCATATACTTCCCTTTTGGAAGCAGCTAAGTGTGTAGAGGATTGTGCTTTCTTCAGTCACCTTTAATCCCCCCCCCCTCATCTTAACTGTCTCAGGGCACCCGTCCTATCCTTCCAGCCTGAATTCCTACCCAAGATCAAGGGTTTTCCTTCCCTTTCCCAGAGCCACTTTCTCACATCTCTCATTTTCTCCCTAGAGTGGGAGGCTCCAGGGGACCACAGCTGACTCTGCCAGGCACAGAGGGTTGAGTCATCCTGCAGGCGTCAGAACTGTTAGCAACAGCTCTGCTGATCTGTATGCAGCTCCAACTCCCTCTCCAGTTCAGAGTTTTGGAGCCGTCTTGTTCGAAAGTAAAGAACAGAACACAGATGGCTGGTAACAGGATCCCACAGGGGCCTCCTTTCCCACTGAGCCCATCCTGCTAATCCTTTCACAGAAGAGAAAATAAATGGTGAATGAAGCAAGAAAAAAAAGAAGAAGAAGAAAAGAAAGAAAAGAATAGAAAGAAAGTATCAGCTTCTGCATATTCTGTGGGTATAGGTGGAAGGTCTCTGAGAAGGACTCTCACTATCATTAAGTTTCCCAGGCATATTCCCTTCCTGGTCCTTCTTGTTCCTCATCCATTTCTTTTCCCTTCATTCCTCCCATTTTCCATCCCAGTTCCCAATTCTCTGTAGTATCTTTGAATCTGGTAGAGTGTTTTGTCTGAATGCCTTCTATTTGAGCCAGGCATTTCCCCTCCTGGTTCTGGGAATCCAACCTAAGGCCTTGTACTTCTGGACTTAAGTGATCCTTTGCCTCAGCCTCCTGAGTAGCTGGTACTATAGGCATGAACCACCACATCAAGCTGCTTTGCCATTTACTGGGTAAGCTTGGGCAATTTACTTAATCTGAGTTCTAGATATGGCATTGATCATGTATATACTAGCATCTACTTTGCCAATTGGTTTACAGATTAAATTAGATAGAGGCAAGACATAGAATCTAGAACATAATAGGTGCCTAATAAATATTAATTATCTCTCTTTGTTTTTTGAGGCTGTAAGTGCCAGGTTCCTGTTTTCAAAAGCCTGAAAAATAAATTTCCCAAGAAAGCAATATGTGAATACACTAATGTCGCTTTTCACCAACTTAGGGATTCTTGGTGAAGACTGCTGATTTTCTCATACTATTTTTTTTTTAAAGAGAGAGAGAGAGAGAGAATTTTATTTTTAATATTTATTTTTTAATTCTCGGCAGACACAACATCTTTGTTGGTATGTGGTGCTGAGGATCGAACCCGGGCCGCACGCACTCCAGACGAGCACGCTACCAGTTGAGCGACATCCCCAGCCCTCTCATACTATTTTTATAGTGTTTTCCTTGGAAGAAAAGATGCTTAGTTGCAGACTGGGACTGTGTGACTTTAGGTAACTCATTGTCCCTCTTTGGATTTCACTAGAACAGAGAAAGGATCATTGCTCTTCTTCACTCTAGGAAACAAGGAAGTCTATAAACTCCAGGAGAAAAGTTAAGTACAGATGGTATTATCCTTGGCACTGAGAATATCAGAAGTACAGTCCAGTCAAGGGCCACTGTTCAATTTATGTGATTACCAAAGACTCAGCTGACACAGGGTTGTGGTTTGACATGGCTTCTTTGTTCCAGATAATAAACATGTGTAATGTCAATTATACTAATGTGTTTTGCTCTAGTTGAAACAAGAAGGAGGCCGGGATACTGTACCTCATTCTCTCTGACCAGGCAACCTCTAACAACACGTTTTTCCTGTCTCTCTTTGTAACTGGTAATTAGGTTCTCAGCTGAGCTGTCAGGAATCTTGACAGGTTTCACAGGCAGTCACCATCTGACAATTTACAACTTTGGGCTTTTCACAGCTGGCATGTTCCCTCCCAGGAAACCTAAGTTTCTAATGCCAGTGTTCCTTCTATCATCCAAAGAGTCTGATCTGAGAGGAAAGCTAGCTTTCTCCATGCATTATCTGATTTCAAAACAGACTGCTTGGTCTCATGGTGATGATGGAGGAAATATCTGTATTCATGTATGTCCTGAGTGGTAAGGGCTGACTTTCTGGTTTTGCAATGCAGGAGTCATCATCATCAAGGCTAGAAGTGGCATGAGAGTGTGGGAATTTTACATAGCCTTTAAGAAAGAGAAAAAAAAAATAGCTAAGAAAGTTGCTTTTTGTTTTCTTTTCAAAAGTTCAACTCCTATATAACCAAAAAATGGAAAATAGGGAATTGAATAGATTAATTGTACACCCATATTCCAGAAACATTTATGATAGCTAAAAGGTGGAAGCCACCCAAGTGTCCACCAACAGCTGAATGAGATATGTAATGCAATGGAATATTAGCCTTAAAAAGGAAAGGAATTCTGACACATTCTACAACATTGATGAACCTCAAAAACAATATGCTAAGTGAAATTAAAAAATCACAAGACATATACTGTGATTCCACTTATATAGGTACCTCAAATGGCCACATTTATAGAGTCAGAATGTAGAATGGTGGTAACCAGAGTTGGGGGACAGGAGGAATGAAGGGTTATTGTTTAATGTTTTATTGTTTATTATTCTGTTTTGGAGGATGAAAACTTTCTGGAGATGGATGGTGGTGATAGTTTTACAACAATATGGATATTTTTGTTTTATGGACTGGGGATTAAATCCAGGTTTTTGTACATGCTAGGCAAGAAAGAGCTCTACCCCTAAGCTATATCCTCAGCCCAGCAATGTGATGCCACTTAAAAACGGGTAAAATGAAGGGCTGGGGGCATAGTTCAGTGGTACACCACTTCCCCCAGCATGTACAAAGCCCTGGGATGGATTTCTGGAACTACAATAAGAAGGGGGGGGGGGTTTTAAATGATAGATTTTATGCTATGTATATTTTATTGCAATTCATTTAAAAAAGTTCTTTCCTTTTTGACTAGGGAACCTAAGCCATTGATGAAAATAAATCAATTCTACTCAGAAGGCTGAGGCAAAAGGATCAGGTGAGACCCACTTCTGAGAAAACAAAATAAGGAAGGAAAAAAAAAGAAATTCTTCCCAGTCTGGGTCAGAAGCTCCTCAGATGAGTTTTTTGTTTGTTTGTTTTTTTGTTTGTTTGTTTGTTTGTGTGTGTGTGTGTGTTTGTTGTTGTTGTTGTTATTGTTTGTTTTTTGGTACCAGGGATTGATTGATTCAGGGGCACTCCACAATGAGCTACTTCCCCAGCCCTATTTTGTATTTTATTTAGAGACAGGGTCTCACTGAGTTGCTTAGCGCCTTGCTTTTGCTGAGGCTGGCTTTGAACTCTCCATCCTCCTGCCTCAGCCTCCTGAGCTGCCACTCCCGGCTTCAGATGTTTCTTTTTAATTTTTAAAAATTTTCTTAGCTGTCAATGGAATTTATTTTATTTATTTATATGCGGACTAGCATGTGCCTCACACATGCTAGGTAAGTGCTCTACCACTGAGCCACAACCCCAGCCCTACAGATGGGTTTTAATGCTTATTTGATCACAGCACTGCTCAGACTGTATTATAAAGCCAATTGTGTTGCCAATCTTTTATTTTCCCAGGCTAGCATCCATTGCCTTTCTTTCTGGTAACAGAACAGTTGTACCTTAATTTCTTGCTGGAAACTAGCCCTTCCTCTATTCACAGACTGTTCTTGTGAAGTTGTGAAGTTGACCCTATTGTGTTCCAAGGATTTTTTTTGTGTGTGTGTGTGGTGCTTGGGATTAGAACCCAGGGCCTTGTGCATGCTTGCACAAGGCAAGCACTCTACCAACTGAGCTATATCCCCAGCCCCCCAAGGATGGAACTTGTTTATCAGCCTAAACCAATCTGCATGTACAGTGTATGACTTTTCCTCAAGTCTGGGTTACAGATGGGCACATGATCCAATTAGAGTCAATGAAAGCAATAAGATTTTCTCTGGCATTTAGGAGAAATAATTTCTCTTTCACTCTTTTTCCTGACATTTGATGATGATGGCAATAATAATGAAATAGTTAACATTTATTGAGGGCTTATTCTATACAGGGAGAATTTTTTTTTTAATTTTGGTTTAGTTTTGGTACTGGGGCTTGAACTCAGGGGTACTTGACCACTGAGCCATATCCCCAGCCCTATTTTATATTTTTATTTAGAGACAGGGTCTCACTGAATTGCTTAGCTCCTTACCTGTTTCTGAGGCTAGCTTTGAACTTGTGATCCTTCTGCTTCAGCCTCCAGAGCTGCTGGGATCATAGGTGTGCCACCGTGCCTAGCTGACAGAGAGAATTCTAAATACTAAATTTATTTACTCATCACAATAACCATATTGTATAGCTATGATTATTATTTCCTCTTACAAGTGGTGTAACTGAGGCACAGTTTTGTTTTGTCTTTTCATAGTGCTGGGATTGAGCCCAAGGCCTTACACACACTAAACACATAATCTACTTCTGAGCCACGTCCTCAGCCTGGCACAGAGAGTTTGCCCAGTGCTTGCCTCACATGCACAGGGCCCTGGGTTCAACCCCCAGCACCACCACCACACACACACACACAAAAAAAAAACAAAATTAAATTAAATTGAGGGTGGGGATATACCTGATAGCTCAGTTGGTAGAGTGCTTGCCTCACATCTCACATGCACAAGGCCCTGGGTTCAATCCTCAGCACCACACACAAGAAAAGAAAGTCTGCCCAACTTGTCAAGGGTCTCAAGCTGCAAACCCACTTTCACAACCTTGAGAAAATGTAAGGAATGGAATTGCTGCTTCTTTTTCTGGGAAGCCCCAAACCCAAGGCAATGCAGTGAAAGGCATGTTCTAGAGATGAAACCAGATCATTTAAGCCCCAGAACTAACTTTCTAAGCCAGCCCTTACTTTAGACATTTTTTTTCCTTTTGGTATGGTTAAGCCAAAATATTTCTATTTCTCTGAAGCTACTTTCTGTCTGGTTCTCTATCTTTTAAAATCAGAGTCCTAAGTGACATAGAATTATTTATCTGTGGCCCTTCCCAGGAAGCTGTGATCTCCTTGAGATAGGAATGCTCTTATTCACTTCCACATCCACAGAGTCTAGCATCATCTACATAATTAACATTCAATAAACGTTTGCTGTTTATCAATTCAGTCATTCCACAAACATTTTCTGCTGTGAGCCAGAAATTGGGTTAGATACAGGGAATGGGAATAAAAATGAGTGACTTAACATTGTTTGTCTGCAGTATATGGGAGAATAATCACTCTAAAGGTTAGTATGATAGAGAATGCTAGGAAAAGACGCACACACATTCCAGAGTCCGCTGAAAGTTGTTGTTGCCTTGGTATTCTGTGTCTGACTGATGAGCATTTCTGGGTTCCTGCACATGGTCAAATGTTTTCAGGGTTGTCTAAGGTTCCAAAAATGTTGGAAAGCATCTACTTCTCCATCTGATGTATGTACCAGAGTCACACCTGTCATATGAACCATGTGTTTTCTGCAAGGCTTCTTTGTATCACTTGAGTCTCAAAAGCATATTCAGTAAAATGAGTGCTCCCTGCTCATTTCTGAGAGTTATGGTGAAGATCAAAAGAAGTCATAGATACGAAAGTTCTACTGTATTTAGGTGATAGTTGTTTTCTTTTATCTGACCACAATAAGTGCTAACATAGTCTACTCTAGCTAGGATCCCCGCAACGCCACATCATTTGGCCTCACCAGCAGTTCTGTTGTACTTGTAGTGAACATCTGTTGTTTTTGTCTGTCCAGAATTTTTCTCTATTTTGGCAAAAAGTACCCTACATTCCTTCTGGGAATTACCTCTCCATCATTCTATGTACTTATTGTGGGGGTGTTACTCTGGGCCTCTTGACACAAGGTGAGCATACAAGCATAGCTTGAGTAATCAAAATATCTTACTCCTTGGCAAAGCAGCTGGCTTTAGGGAAGGGCATATAACACAGGGCCCAAACTGGACTACTCAGAGCTGTTCATCTGGATTATATGAATTGTTTTTCCAGGGTGAGAAGCTTCCCTTTTCTTTGGGGGGGGGGATGTCACTGAATTGCAATTATGTAATCCTGAAACTTCTGAGGCTGTTCCTTTCACCCCCCATTCCCCTGCATCCCTAGTCCAGCATCCCTTTGCTACATGAAACTATTTTATATATATATATATATATTTAACTATTGTTTGCATAATACCTTTATTTATTTATTTTTATGTGGCGCTTAGGATCGAACCCAGGGCCTCGCACGTGCTAGGCGAGCATTCTACCGCTGAGCCACAATCCCAGCCCAAAAGAAACTATTAAGATGCAATTTTTCTTCAGTTATGATCTATGTGAGACCTCTATAAAACTATGACTATGGTTCATAAGCCCCCAGTTTTGTTTTGTTTGTTTTTGGTATTAGAGATTGAACTCAGAGGCTCTTAACCACAGAGCCACATCTCTAGCCCTTTTTATATTTTATTTTGAGACAGAGACCCACTAAGTTACTTAGGGCCTCGCTAAGTTGCTGAGGCTGGCTTTGAACTCAAGATCCTCCTGCCTCAGCCTCCCAAACTACTGGGATTACTGATGTGGGCCATGGTGCCAGGCAAATCCTCAGTTGATGTCTACTTACACTTACAAAGTCTCAAATGCCTTCAAATTCTACATCCACAATATTCTATATGATTTATGAAGAGAAGAATAAATTTCAT